GACTCCACACGCTCTTTGGCCTTTCTGATGGATTCAACTTGTGTTACATCCAACTGGATCAATGTAACGCCATCCTTGCCTGCCAGATCACTCATACTTTCCAGTTTTCTCGAGGCTGCAAAGACGCGGAGGCCTAGATGGATATGATCAATTGACACCCACGACTCTAATCAATAATATCCTTACCGTTTGCTGCATATTCCTTTGCAAGCGCGGAGCCTGAACTCCCGTTGGTGCACCCTGTGATGAAGACGGTTCGTCGCATACTTATTTGCTGCCTATTGTCGAGTTATCTACATGACCAACTGTCCTGCTTATATAGGATTCAGATTGTGAGTTCGGACATTATCTAATTTCGGCTGTCCTTTTTGACCACTATCGAAGTGTCGTACGTGGGCTACCGGCATGATGGAAAGAGGCCGGATTTACACAAGACAAATCCGATTGAGGCATTTTGAGGCATTTTCGCTGCGAAACAAAGTCCTTCAAAGGACAATTCCAGAATGTACGAGCAGATGTGGAGGAGACCAAGGCAAGGTTTTGTTTATTCATCACAGCGTACAGACCAATCACTCTTCACTTGGCCAACAAATACAGACTGCAAGGCGTCCAACAACGCCTTACTCACCGGGCCAAATCCACTCGGGTATGTAGGAAATACAATATCATCTCCTCGATAACCTATCCTCCCGATGGGGCAAACGACGGCGGCAGTGCCAGCGGCAAAGACCTCCAGCACACGATTCTCGGCGTTTGAACGCATTATCTCCTCGACTGTAATTATACGTTCGACAGGATATACGCGTCGAGAGCTCGGAATATTTGGTAGACAGGCATGTGAGGGATCGCTGTGAGACAGGTTGTGATATCGAGCCAGAGCTAGACAGCTATCCCTGGTAACCCCGGGCAAGATAGTGCCATCTAACGGGGGTGTTATCAGGTCAAAATCTAGCAAGAATCTTAGCCCATAGTCAAGTGGATCAATAAAAGAGCCTACCGCCATCTGAGCGAATAAGGACTGCAAAAAAGTTCATCTGGCCAGCTTCTGTAATTCGCATCTCTGGCCGTTTCGACTCGATCTTGACCTCTTCCTGAGGGCTTT